AGGGACACAGTATCAAAGTAACAGAGTGTACAGTATCAAAGTAACAGAGGGTACAGTATCAAAGTAACAGAGGGATACAATATAAAAGTAACATAGGGAAACAGTATCAAAGTAAGAGGGGGTACAGTATCAAAGAAACAGGGGGTACAGTATCAAAGAGACAGAGGCTACAGTATCAAAGTAATATAGGGATACAGTATCAAAGCAACAGAGGGTACAGTTTCAAAGAAACAGAGGCTACAGTATCAAAGTAAGAGGGGGTACAGTATCAAAGAAACAGGGGGTACAGTATCAAAGTAACAGAGGGATACAATATCAAAGTAACATAGGGAAACAGTATCAAAGTAACAGAGGGAACAGTATCAAAGTAACAGAGAGTACAGTATCAAAGTAACAGAGGGTACAGTATCAAAGAAACAGAGGCTACAGTATCAAAGTAACAGAGGGTACAGTATCAAAGTAACAGAGGGTACAGTATCAAAGTAACAGAGGGATACAGTATCAAAGTAACAGAGGGATACAGTTTCAAAGTAACAAAGTGTACAGTATCAAAGTAACAGAGGGTACAGTATCAAAGTAACGGAGGGTACAGTATCAAAGTAACAGAGGGTACAGTATCAAAATAACAGAGGGATACAGTATCAAAGTAACATAGGGATACAGTATCAAAGTAACAGAGGGTACAGTATCAAAGTAACAGAGGGATACAGTATCAAAGTAACAGAGGGATACAGTATCAAAGTAACAGAGGGATACAGTATCAAAGTAACAGAGGGTTACAGTATCAAAGTAACAGAGGGATACAGTATCAAAGTAACAGAGGCTACAGTATCAAAGTAACAGAGGGTACAGTATCAAAGTAACAGAGGGATACTGGAGTTATAAATCATAATAAATACTTTCATGCAGGGGAACAGACAGAATTGAAATATTTAGATAAAGGTACATACTCTTTTCTTTTAGATGTGATAATAAATTTAAGCAATAATACATATGACGTCTAATTAACATAGAAGATTCAAATATACGTGTGTAGTGAAATTCATCTCCGATTTAATTATCATTACACATCTGACAAATGCGTTATTGCCTTGGTATATTACTCCAACTTCCAATTTCGACAGGTAAAAAACAACTCCTGATTCTAAACCTACAAAGAGTCTCAGCATATTTTTATAGACAATATTTAAGCAATTTTCGAACATACATTCTTCCTTAAAACTCAAGATATGGTGGTTTTTAGAGAGTCTCTGCATAATTCTGCCCAGGTTAGTTTGAACTGATCAGTCAAGTTTCATTTTTGAATAAAAAAAGCAATTTGGATTAACGGATTTTGATTTATTTGTGCGGTGAAGATATTGTCAATTGTGGAATAACCTCTACGTAAACCTGATTGGTTTTCGTTTATAACCTGAAAATCCTCCTAGAATTTAGTTAACCTATTGGTAAATAGCTGTAAATAGTTTACCTACACAGCTCAGAATAGTAATGGGTGGAGGATAGTTCTTAGGGTCCGTTTCAGAGCCTTTTTTTAAATTGAAAGGTCATATATGCATAAAATTTATTGCGTATGGCAGATGACAACTCATTAAAAATACGTAGATTTCAGGTGGGTTTTTTTTTCGGACAAATCTTTCCCGTCTACCAGTTTCTTGTAATAGACGCATATGCAAAGTTCTGAATTTAATAACGTTGTGTCTGTCTTTAGCTTTAATTTACTGACATAGTTTTCCATTTCATTTGTTTGTTTTTAATTGAATAGGTACGTCCTCTTGAAGATGTCTCTATTTTGTTAAAAAAAAAAAAAAAAAAAAAAAAAAACATTGGTCTTGTAATCTTTGCTTTACAGTGAGCTTCAACTAAACTATTTTTTTCTGAAGTAATATTTCAATAGAAATAATATTATATTAAGATTTTAACCAGTTCAACTTTATCATGGTTCCCTTGAATAGTGTATTTTTTGTACCGAGTCTTTAATACATCTTTTTCTTGCCCACACTCATGTACTCTTTGGTTGCTTATTAAAACTACTTTTGAGAACAGATGTGGCATACCGGCCGATTCCTTGGTTTGTTATTTCATTATTTTGTGGTCTAGAGACACTCCACTGTATGACAGTGGTAACTTACACACTCATGCAGGTGTAACTACAGTACACCGAATATAGAGGGAATCATTTCAACACTTTTATATTATAGTAAAATAGAATAGTTATGTATATCGGCAAACTCTACGGCAAAAGCAGGAAAAGCGAGAGCAAAACGGGAAGTCATAACCACGGCACTTGAATTTAACATTATGATTGGTTAGGAATTGAACAGAAATAAATGTATGTCTATGTGAACAAAAAAAAATGTGATATAAAAAAGTCCATGATTCCCTGTCATTTGTAGATTGAACATAGAATTTACCAACTTATACTTGAACCACGACCCGCAGACTGTTCCATCTCTCGAGCAGCTTTGCCCAGACAAACACCTTGTTTTGACACAGACGTCTGTAAACCCGTCAACAATGACTAGGTGTCTTGCCATCATCACTGTCAATTGCCCCCTGCTAATCAGTTTCTTTCGACATTTAAAGGCAATAATATCGTTTTTATTATCTTCATTGCTTACTTCTGTTATATTTTCTCCACACAATTTCAACTCTTTGCTTATCGTATTACTTATATTGAGTTTAAGAAATTAGAATTAAAACAAGACGAACATAAGTACAATGTCGATTTGTGCCGTTGTTTGTGTTTTACGTCCTATAAACAATATGGAGTTACCAAAATTTGCTTCACTGCCGTTGAGTTTAAAACTACATAATCAGTATGGCTTGAAATAACGTAACAAATATTGGGCGGTCATTAAATGATGATACAATGATGTCACTGACTTTCATTTTGTATTATGACGTCACAATGGTTTAAGACTTCAAGAATAACTTAGAAAAAAACATACATGTAATAAAATGAAACTTATGTAACATATTTAAGCAATAAACTGCATAGATGTGGCAGTTATACCAGTTTATTGCTTATATTTATATTTCCATAATGAGAATTCGCAAATTTTTTTTATGTCTTTTCCAAATTTCAAATTTCCCGCTTATTACCGTCAGGTCAGGTCAGTATCTAGAACGGCACAAAGATAACAGCTGACGTCATGCGCTATTTCCCATACAAAATTGAAAAGACTCCGCAACTTTCGTTAATAATTCATTTGAATTTGATTTATATATATTTCATATTCTCGATTCATAAATAGTAACAAATGACATTTTGTAAGTAACTAATCAAGTGTCGTAAAACATTTTCCGATTTTATTGCGACCTATATCCGGCGCACGCACTCAACGGAAGCCCGCAGTAATCAGGTCAGAGTTATATTTGCGGTCCGGCATGTTGTTGATGTTGATCGTGCAACCGGAGAAGGTTGAATTGGTGAAAAATCCAGGCGTAAAATTGTTTGTTGATCTCACAGACACTTGAGACAGCCAGCTGGTGTTAGGGATCAAAGCAGAAGATAGCGATAAGTTCGGTAGTCGCTCGGAGGTGCAAAGACCAACTTCAGTTATAGTCTCATAAGATGAAGCTGCTATTGGCAGTACTTTAGTAGTAATATAGAAGGGCTTTGCCACACCAAATGTAAATATATGGATATATTGACATCGTTTATTAATTTTCAATCATGTTTTTTTTCTCTCCGTGTGAGCTTCTTATGCAATACCATTTTCCGGTGAATAAGAATCACGTTTACGGAAAGTGTCGACGGGTCCCGATTGCTTTGCCGTAAGTTCAAATGAAGAGTATCGGCATGTTATTTAGCACACAAAAATAGTTAACCTCTGATGGATAGGCAAAATCTTATGTACATGTAGATCTACCCGGTATCCAAACCATCGAATTAAAACTTTGGAAAGGAGACAGTCTGACTAAAACAATACTATCTATGCTCTGTTCCGTAAACTATACTCCAATTTAAAATTTAGTTTGTGTATTCAGCTTGGGTCGAAGGCGCGATATATACCGGCCAAAGGAGGAACAGGGGCATAACCCCTAACCATTTTTACTCAAATTTGATATATACATGTAACTCTATCTCAGAATCTACAGAAAAAACAAGAGGTTTCTGATCATGCTATTGTTCTTTTAGATGTCAAAACGGTGTTTAAATATTAAATATTTACTCGGATACCTTAGCTCATGGACTAACCCACGGATGTATGCAAGCAAAATGGAAACCTCAGCCATTTTTCTTACCATCATAGCAGATTGATGATAAAGTGGGTCGAAAAAGTTTGATGATGTTTTCATGTTCAAAGGAATATAAAGGTTTATATTGTGTTAATTCTTGGTAGAACATGTGACCGCGGACTATTATTACAAAAAGTCTTATCCAACGGTAAATAGTACGATCATAATTTTTCTTATCGCCATATTACACACCTAAGGAAATGTATGTCACCGCTGAACATTAAAAGACATTGTGTTGCGTTGATTTTGTTCGTTTATGTAATATCAGATGTCCTCAATCAGCCACCCTAGAATACATCTGGTCGAAAATAAAAGGTTTTCTTTTTTGTGTGTTTTTTCAGGAAGTGACTTATCTGACGTTGTGCAAATCAGCTTTTTGAATAATTTTCTATTGATGAAACAAGCGTTACGTTATCCAGTGCAAAATGTAACTGTTAACTTGAAAACTTTTACGATAACATCGTAATCACAGGGTTTGTTATAGCTATATTTGAACCTAAACTAAGGTGTTTAGAGGACTTTTATATGTTTAGCGGTTTAGATCAAATTTTGGGGGTATCTTTTTTTTACCGAAAGTCGATCTAAACCCCTCAAACATGTAAAATTACTTTGAACACCTTAGTTTAGGTCCAAATATAGCTGTAACAAACGCTCAGGTTCCCGTGATCGTAACGTCGGCGAAAGACGTCATCAGCTGAGGTAGAGAGCCCACCTGAGTGTTTTCTGACAGGTAGAGTTTAGCGGGTAATTAGCACCTGCCACGGGTAACCCCTTGCTGTGCTGTCGGACTCGCATGAAAAGTGTTAACAGTTAACGGAACTGGTCGGATTGATCGACAGGAGTCGCAAACTTGCTTGGCCAATCATAAAGCACGTGGCATAGACTTCATCTACATACATAGTATAAATTTGGAATTTTAATACGACTAAGTTACTTTCTCAATAGAATTTAAAAAGACATCAACTAAGCCAACTATCTGGTGTAAACACTCGGCACACCATCGACATATCATTGTTCAACGGACTGAAGTGTGAATTATGATTTCGTCAACATTCTCCATTGACTACCTGACCAGCAAGGTAAATCGCTGCGGTGGAGAGGATAGTCTGCGACGTTCCCCTGTCCCGAGTTTAAGTAATAGTTCGAGCGGAACCGAGTCGGAAAATCCGGAATCCATTGTGAAAGTGCTGCTATCTTTGGACAAAACAATGAAGTCAAACATTGGCGATGCTACCGATGGAAAACCCGCACAATCCTACATCGCTTTGATTTCCATGGCGATATTAAGCTCTCCAAATCAAAAAATGCTGCTGTGTGACATCTACCAGTATATCATGGATAATTTTCGTTTCTACAACAATACAAACAAAGCTTGGAGGAACAGCATACGACACAATCTCTCCCTTAACGAATGTTTTGTAAAGAGCGGACGGTCTGAGAACGGCAAAGGAAATTACTGGTCCATTCACCCAGCATGCATCGAGGACTTTTCCCGTGGCGACTTCCGACGCAGGCAGGCCAGAAGGCGAGCGAGGAAAAGCATGAAAGAGGTGGACGCCGTTATGTCCAGTATTAAAGGAAGAATGAACAGTATGATATACGTGCCTATGACATCGTCTGCGGTGGGGTATCACAATCAGCTGCCGTATTCCTACACTCAGAACGGATTCAGCGACGTCTGTGGCAGTAGTATCGCCCCGCCGACGTCGACGCCGTCCTTTTTCCAACAAACGTCTCCGGAGTTGCATCGCCTCCCTCATCCGTCCCAGTCTCAGAACATGGCTGCCTGGTGACGGAGTGATACAAATAGACATTTAAGTTGTGTTACAGACTAAACTGACGGGTTTTAATGTATTATGTATATATATATGTATTGTGAGTTACTTGCAGATTTGTGCTATATATATTATATTTTACTCATAATCTTGTGATTTATACATATAATAATTTAAATGTAATGTTATTTATTTTATTTCGTTATTTTAAACTCGGCTGATTGTTTACTTGTAAATATTTTCATTGTTTATAGGATAGTTTATTTCACTGCACGAAACATTATTTCAACGTGAAAAATTGCATTATGTTAAAACTATATCTAAAAAATCTAATATTCTTCGAAATTGCCCATTTTAACCAAAAAACAGTTCATCAAAAAATCAGTAGAAAATATTATATCATCTTTATTTCCTCCAAATTGGAGAGCATGATACAAATCGAGTTTAACCGTATTAAACTTCACGTGCGTGAAGCTCAATTAAGATTTTGAAATAGTCTGTTAAATTCCGCTTTAAACTAATATTTACGTATTACTTTTGTCCATTGATGAAAAATTGCCGTGTATATATCTGGAATATTGACGTCATAGAAATACTGAAGAATCGAGTATACGAAATTCTTAAGAAAAGAATTGATTTAACAAGCTGACGCAGTTAATACGGAGATGTAAACTGGCTGTTGGAAAATATATTTTTTATGAAAAATGGTATCATGATACGAGTGTTCTTAATGGAACATAAAAGTTTACATTTGACCTAAGACTTTACATTAGAAAAGTATGTACATTGCAGATTCCTTATATCTCGTTCACAGAGACGTGTAGGTGTTACTAAATATATTAGTCAAACATGCAATACTCATATCATGAAATGATATTTCTACAATTCAGAATTGAAAATAATTATTTATTTTTACGTTCGGGAATCTTTGTAAAACTAATATAAAGATGATATAAGGTGTTCATTTAAACTGGCGAATCGATTGTACTAAAATTCTAGATTAAATATTGTTCCTCGTGTAATTTGAAACAGCAACATGGTTGTAGTCATTTTGCCTCATTTCTGCAAAATTTTACTATTACATTAGCTTCATTTGGCCATTTTAAATGACGTCATATGAAACATTAACCGGATGCGCCGAAGAATGTGTAGAAAGATTCATATAGAATTTCAATATTTGTAAATATTTATTATGATAATTTTGTGCAATATTTCCAGACTCTGTATTAATTGTAATGGTATGTCTGAACTTGATTTTGAAGCTAATAATATGTTTCCAACGAAATGAATAAATGCTATTTCGTAAAAGAAAAAGTTGCCTTTTAGTGTTTTGTCACATTCCATTTTTTGACGTTTCATTTGCTTGACGCGAGCACAGTGACCCGAGACTTTGGTACATTTGGTATGTGTGGTCCTGTTGGTTAGAAAGTATTTTTTCGGGGTTTAAATCTACTCTCGGCACAAAAAAAGAACACAAAAAACCTCACCGCGCCAATGGTGGCTTCATTGGTTTAAACCCCTATATTTTTTTAATTTAATTTTATACACACGTGGAAAAGTCCAAACATACCAAATGTTAGACATTCTCGGGTTGTTGTGGCCGCGAGTGGAGACGGTTGTACTACGACAAGATAGTACTCGGTGCCTAGAACAATGATCACAACTCAACCCAAATGACACTTGTTTGAAGAGCTGATAGATACATATATGACAATGAATGTTATCTATTAACAAGAAATCATGTAATATAATAACACGGTATAACATATCTCACAGAGTATACGATATAGAAGCATATTAACGATAAACTGTATGGACATCTCATATATATATATATTAATTTCTAATCCCAATATTTCGTTTGAAAGTAACAATAGGTTTAATGAAACAACAATATTGTTGGATAATTTCAATAATAAATGTCCCAACTGACCATGCCATGCTTTCGATCATTAATATTAACAAGAATAATAATTATAAAAAAATAATGTGGAGAACTTATATCAACATAAATCCACTCATTTAAATTTATCTTAAAACTAAAGATGTCGCACTTACTTACACAGATATATGTAGTGACCCCCAGGTTCAGTTTATATCTGTGCACATAATATAAATCAAGCTAATTTAATATACGGATACTATCATTGACTCCGTTATCCATTCACCTACCAATTATTACAGTGTAGCAATACCGTTACTAATAACGACGTCATTAATTAATACCAATAATGTTACTAAATCACAAGTTCTACATGTCACGAGCTGGAATATCCGACACATGCTACCGAAGATGGATACAACCAAGTCATTCCTATATAACAATAAAATAACTGAAACTTAGGCCTTTGGGTCAAAGTTGTTGTGGTCTTCTCGTTTACGTGAATAAATTTTGTTTTATACATCTCTAGATCTGATTTAGAATGTTGATAAAATCAAATGTAACTTGACTGAAGCTAGTAAAAGAATTAACTAGGCTTTGTATTTGTATATGGGCCATTTAATGTAATTGCATCTTGGTCAGATGTATTTGATGTAATGCTTGTCAAGCCAGTGATAATCTGAAATCTGTATAAGCTGTTCTTGGTAATTTTAGCAATTAAATAGTAACACAGAACGGAACGAGGTCATGGTTACGCGTATACCTATTTATTGAGAAACACACTAGTAGTGCTGAGAAATCGTCAACCCTAATAGATCACATAGATCTGCGGCAGTAATGACGATACGGTAGGTAATGTAATCGTAATGAGATTTCCTCCATTTTTTCACTTTCATTTTAATGTTATATATATATATCTGAGTGGTAAATAAGAAAGCATTCGATTGCAACAAAACTAAAAGCTATTGTCAGTGAATAAACATTCTCCCTTCAAAATCCCATTCATTAAAGTAACTGAATGAGAAAAGTACACGGACAAGTTTAGGTCAGAAGCAAAAGACATAGATGACTTTGGACATTGACTGTAAACATCATGCAAACATATTATATTTCCGAATCTTGTTAACATACATATTCAACTGGAGTATAACAAAGACGTGTTTCCTTCCACTTTGAAGCAAGCTCGTGTTACTCCCATCGATAAAGGTAAACCGAGAAACTGTCTTGATGTATATCTATTTTACCAACAATGTCTATTTCTTTTTGTTTTAAAACCATGCATCAGGACATCACTAAAAAGACCTAATGGTTCAAACAGAAGCATTCCTATTGAACCTCAGTCATTAATCTGCTGGATGACTGGCTCAGCAGCCTATATAACAGTAACGCTGTGGGATGTTTGCTGATCGTTTAAAGAAGGCCGCTGATTTAGTAGACAATACTGACTCATATAGCTAACTAGTCTATATTGTTTTAAATCTTTCCTGTTAAATTAGAGAGAGAAAAAATGTGAAATCTGGCAATTTAACATTATTTCAGAGCATTTAATACAATATTTAGTGCAGAGAACTTTAAATACAAAGGGAAATAACTCTTAAAGCAATGAGCAAAAATTATGTACACCACCATAGCGTATTTTGTAATATTATGTATTTTTTACGTGTTTTTTGTATATCATTGTAGTACAGTGTAGTATTATTTCCACATTACACGTACAAGTATTTGAAGTTTCAGTGTAAATTCCCGTTGAAGACAAAACTATTACACCACAGGTAGTCAGAAATCAGTGGAATTGACAGAGATGAAAAGTAAATGGTTAAGAAGTATTGAAAAAACTATCTAAGGCTGTTGCATTAATTGGCAGAATGTATAAATACCAGAAAATCACATTATAACTACGACATATTTCAAAGGCCAGATTATGCAACTTCTCTATGGGGTAATGTATTGGCCAAAGAGCAAAATATCCTTATTACAAATATATTATGTCGACATCTTTTAAACAATATGTTAACATACGAAACTCGTAAGTTATAGGTCGACGGCAGACATATGCCGCATTACAAATCAAAGCAGCATTCGAATTATTTTAAATTAACGTGCTCTTACACTCAGTGGAGAACTTTGTCAGGTGAGTGATTTGCTAATCTTTTTTTCCAGGGTGAGATATCCTTTCTTGTACCTTGATTGGTAAGTCAGTAACCATCAGCAACTCAAAGACATAAGAAACAGTATCGATGACTGTGATGATGTGTACACAATGTAGTTACAAACGGAGATCTACATCAAATGATGAACAACCTCGACCAAGAACACACACACCAAGCTATAACTTAAAACAAATCCTTGGCTACTCCGGTGTGGTTATGTGAACAAATGTAACAACAGGACTGAAGAGTTTTAATATAATTTTAATTTTAAATAACAATATGAAAATATACCTAATAGCTCATATTTGAATATATACATGTAATGTTTCCAACTGCATTTACCTGTTACAGGGTGCTGTCTCTATGTTTTGTGACTCTCGTACTACAGCCCCCAATCTCGTACTACAGCCCCCAATCTCGTACTACAGCCTCCAATCTTGTACTACAGCCCCAATCAGCCCCCAATCTCGTACTACAGCCCCCAATCTCGTACACACTTGTTCTGTATCACACCTAAATAGTTTTGCTTGGCATTGACACACGTATTTCGAATGCCAGGCCGGATATGTGTTTATCTGTTGTTATGTTTGGATGGGTCTATCGGTACCACGCAAAAGATCCTAACATACGCCTCATGTATTGCCAACATCCTCTCTATACTCTGTGTATATTTTGTGTATGTTGTGTACCTGTTTGTATAAAGAGTGTACATTCATTAATGTAGTTTGAAATTGGTTGGAAGGCGTTTTTGTTAATTGCTCTTACACTTATGTTGCCATCATTAAATGCAGAATAATTAAATCAAGAAATATAATTAAGTTTTGATATTTATATATACATGTATATACATATTATAAGATAATTGAAATAACAATTGGAATGACAACCAATGACCGTCGATCTATCGAACAACATAGCGGTACTGCTTTCTGCCACTCCGATTCGTTTCTGTTCAAGGTAAATCAAGAAGAAGATTTATTTACAGTCACAAGGAGCATTTAACCTTGAGAGAATTACTGCGACAAACAAATAAAGAAAAATTAAAAAACAACCACAATATCAATTATCAGGATGTATAACCAGGAAGGTGGTTTGTTGAAGTGAAAATC